GAATGCTAGATTATTAATACTTATCATTTGGAAAAATAAGGAATGGATTCTTTCTCCTTTTCTTTGGTAGAAGGAATAAATCCTTTATCAAAATGACTGTTCTGTAACTAGAATAAGGAAAAAATATGGGTCTCCATCTTTTAAGAATCTTGCTCTAAATGCTTTCATGATCACTTGTGTTTTGTAGATGGGAGAAATATCAAAGTGAGGAGGAAGCAGCTCTTGGTCGGGGGAAGCGTGTCAGAAAAGCTGTTTCTTACAGAGAAGCTTATGCAGCACATCCAAGTGAAATCGCCAACGAGGTATTTTATCTGAATTGCCTTCTCCTATCCTGTTAGGCCTGGAAACTTTAGAACCTTAAATCTAAGAGGATGTGTAGTTCTTGTAGGATGACACCAAGATTCTTCCACGTGCAATAAGTTGAAGAATGTCTAGTAATGTTAAATTTATGTAATAGGTAGATATCTATGGTTATTAGATAAGTTTAGATATTTTAAATAAGATATATAGAGATATTAAGCTGATCGCTCTACGCTTTATAAATAGAACCTCCATGTAGTCTTTGCATTCTAAGTTTATTGCGTAAAGATGTATGCTTTTTGTGTGTTTTCTCTCTCTCCCTCTTTTGTGATCTTGAAATATTATCACAGTACGTGTTCTTCAGATGGTTAACTGGAAGATGAACTCCACAGTTTATTGTCTTTTTTTGCCATTAATATACCTTTTTAAGATGTCTACTCCGTGGGCGTGCTGTGAATCCTACTGGACCAAATCTCCTCAAAGTATCTTGAGATGACCAATCTTTGCATCTCATATGATGAATTAGTTATGGCTGGAAGCAGTGCATTGTCCCATTAAGTTGCTATTTTTCATGTAAATGTAACTGGTAAGATGAAGTTAGATGAGTATGTCAGAGGAGGACTCATGCATTGAACATACAGCTTTTCCTCCATATCTTTTGTGCATGCATGAGTTTGCTTTCAAATTTCTGTTAAAAGATATATTTTTTCTCTTCATCTTGTCCTAATGTCGCTTTTAGCTTGAATCGCTAACATCCTTGAAGGTAGGATACTGATCTCTATCTTGAGGTTTTCACCGAGTATATTAAGCTATTTGATCCATTTATGGGCAACAAAATCAAATTTGTTCCTGATCTTACTGGTGCCGAGGTTTTCATTCATGCATTGACTTGCACTTATATAGCGTCATAATTTCATTGTTTGTTGGTTTACCTTTGAAACATAAAGCAGAGTGGTGACGAAGAGGAACGGGTGCCTGAGCAAGAGCCAGAACGAGAATATACGCCTGCTGGACGCGCTCTAAAGGAAAAATTGTAAGCGACACAATTTTCTATGTTTTTTCTCAGCGTGTAAGTTTTCTGCTGCTAAGTCAGTTGATGAAAGGGATGTCAATGCTAATTACTACTTGGCTTTGTTGTTTATAGTTGTGAATGGAAAAATTGGAACTTATAAATTCTTTTAATGCAGTGCTAAGCTCCGTGCTAGACAAAAGGAACGCCTTGCTAGAAGGAATCAAATTGAAGAATCTCAGCCCAGTGGGGGGCCGTCGGGACCTGAGGGAACAATTCAATTTCCACCTGATGTTCAAAATGGTAGTGAAGTAGCTGGTTTTGTTCAAACCAGCAAGGGTACTTTCTCGGTAATTGACTTGGACAATGACAAATCAGATGGTACAAAAGCTGAGCACCCAAGTCAAAAAACAAATGTTCATTCAGATCTTTCCATTAGTCCTTTAAGCCGCCCTCCAGACATTCTTCCACTCCACCAACATGAAGGCACAGTCTATCCAAGCTCTGAGTCTGACAGATTGTTACCAGTTCTGGGACTCTGTGCACCAAATGCTAATCAGGTCGAGTCATCACGTAGGAATTCTTCGCGACCAAATATTAGACAAAGTAGACCGGTTGGTCTGGAATTCCCGTTCAGTCTAGCTCCATTCTCTGGTAATTTGATGGGTACACATCTGAAGGGTATGGAACCAACACTGGACAAATTAAAGGTGCCTGATGGCCCTGGAGAAGTTTCACAACTGCATCCTGTGAGTGGAATTTTGAGTAATCGACTCATTTTACCTTGTACAGCCTCCCGTCACCCCTATTCTGTCCTTCCCCCCTCCTCTTCTCGCACATGCAAATTAGTTCACATCTTTCTTGCCCTTTCTGTCCATAGCATTTGATTTTAGTGCTTGTTTGCTTGCAGTATCCTCCAGCACCCCTCCATGACTCTGGTCGGCTGGAAAACACTGGGGTCAATTCCTCTGATTTTCGGGATATGATGATGACACCTAAATACATGGAGGAGAAGCTGATGCCCAGATTCCCAGTTCCAGCTAAAGGTGTACTTCCACAGCATGACTTCTTGCCAACCTTATCACTGGGAAGTAGGGTTGAAGCTGGGCGTGAGTCTATCCAAGATTTCCCACCAATTCCCCCGCTGCCACATTTCAAATTTCCTCCACAGGATGTGGCTAGATATAGTCATCAGCGAGAGAGAGAAATGGCACCCTCTTTGGGGTTGAATCATATGCCTACATTCTCATCGATTCCGGAAAACCATAGAAAGGTGCTTGAAAATATCATGTTGAGAACTGGGTCTGGGTCTAGTAACCTGCATAGAAAGAAGTCCAGAGTTGATGGCTGGTCGGAGGATGAACTTGATTTCCTTTGGATTGGTGTCCGGAGACATGGACGTGGGAATTGGGATTCCATGCTCAGAGACCCTAGGCTGAGGTTCTCAAAGAACAGAACTCCAGAAGATTTGTCAACTAGATGGGAAGAGGAGCAAGTCAAGCTTTTTGATGGATCATCTCTCCCCATGCCAAAGCCCACTAGACCATTGAAACCTGTAAAATCCTCATCATTTCCAGGATTCACGGATGGGATGATGACGAGGGCCTTGCAGGGAAGTAAACTTGCTATGCCTCCAAAGTTTCAGTCGCATTTGACCGACATGAAGTTGGGTTTTAGCGAGGTGGGTCCTACTTTGCCTCCCTTTGGTGCTTCTGATCAACTGAGTCTTCAAAATGAACACTTTACACCTCTTCTACCTTATAATAACCCTGAAAAACTTAGGGAGACTTTTTTTCGCCGTTTTTATGGTGGGCCTTCTGATTTGCCTGGGACTTCACTGAACATGCCTTTTGAGAAGCTATTTGTACCAAACTGCTTTGGCTCCGGCAACATGGGTTCTGCAGGTGTGGTTGGCTCAAGCAGCTTCCAGCCAAGGGATGATGAGCAGAATGCGTATGCCAAGGTGCCTGGTCTCCTGGGTAGACCTCTGAATATGTTACCCGAATTGCGAAATAATTATGGGGGTGAATCAAGCAGTACGGTGTTGTTGCCTGACCCTGATAAGCTTATAAATCATCACTTCCGTTCTAAGGGGAAAGAAGTAATAGATGATGGTGCTTCTAAGAAAAATTTACCCCATTGGCTCCGAGAAGCTGTGACTGCTCCTCTGCCACCACCAGATCCTGAGCTACCGCCCACTGTTTCTGCAATAGCTCAATCAGTTAGACTGTTATATGGGGAAGATAAGCCTACTATTCCTCCTTTTGTGATACCTGGCCCACCTCCTTCTCGACCTAAGGATCCAAGACTCGTTCTTAAAAAGAAAAAGAAGTCAGATCAATTGAGGTCCATCCAGGCGGAAATCCAGGGGAGCAGGCAACTCCCTCCGCAAAATTTCTTGGGTGATGATGCAGCTTCGAGTTCTATACCTCTGGTCCCTGAGCTTGATGCATTTCCACCATCGGTGGCCACAATGCCAGGTCTTGCTCGGAAGGAGGCTCCACTTAACACATCAACCTCAGCGATGCATCAACCTTCTCAGGAGAAAATGAATGCAGAACCGTCCCCATCGTCTGAAGTACTTCAGTTGGTTGCGTCCAGCATTGGTCCGGGTCAACAGCTTGCCCTTTTTCTGCCTGCGAAAAGCTTAGATCTTCCTGGAAGTGATGTGTCCTCATTGAAACGCAGTATCGACCCTACGGGCGATTCTGAACCAAATCATGCTGGAGGCGAGGAGCAATCACATCCTGTTGATGGGCTTGGAGATCCCCAGAAGTCAGACCAACCTGAAAGTGGGAATTCTTTTGGTGAGACTTGGTTGCGTCCTTCTCGGACTGATCATCTTGATGCAGAGGAAGTCTCGTCTGAGGAGACTGTTTCAGATCATCCTGAGAGTGACAATGATCCATAAGTGTTCAGGGCAGGAGAGTGACTAAATATGGATATCACAATTCTTTCATGGGACTGGAAGTGTTAGGGTGCTTTGCAGACGGTGGCATGAATTCTTTTCTTGTAGACTTTGAGCAGTGACGGAGAGTGATGAAACCGCAAAGATAGGGACCGATTAGCCAAATTAGGACATCTCTGTGTAAAGCTTTTGTTATAGAAAATGAAAATATAGTGTTTATCGCGGTACATTCGTCATATTACTCAAATGTTGCAGGTGCTAGATTAGCATAAAGACGAGGCGAGTTCTTCATCAAACTGTTACCGGTAAGTTTGTAGTTCTAATGAGACCCGAGGAAAGAGCTCTGATTAGTGCAGGCATTTAGCCAGAGTGAGGTTGCAGAGTGGCTCTGTACACTTACATCACTCTTAGATCAAGTCAACTGGTGCATTTTATCTTTTTTTTCTTCTCTTGCCTAGTGTTTTCTCCTTCCGTGCCATCTTATATCAATTTAAAGACCCAATCTCCAATCCCATAGCAGATCCCACGCGATGAGAATAACCCTCGTCTCATCAAGGAATCAATTTTCATTTCAGACCGACAGTCCGCTCCACGCAGGGATCATAAGAAAAAATGGTAAAGGTGTAGACTTTGTTCGTAGGTGATTCAACAAAATTTCCCATTTAGTTAGAACATACAATGGTGATCTTACAACCTATACAACGGCTTCTGATTAGCACTCCCGATCGAATGTCCAATCGATGATGCGTCAATGCACATATTATACCGTCGTGAGCATGTATAGATCTTAGCAATCTTTTTCAATCATAAAGGAAAATTAAGATAAACAGTCTCTTTTCTAACTAGTCATTGACCATTGCACTGTCAAAATACAAACATGGCCAGAAAACGTAAACGGGAATACAAGAAAACAAAAAAGCGGAAAGGCTTATAACAAAACTTGGATCTTTGAGAGTCTAGACTAGTGAGAAATGGCAACCGGTCTCGGGTATGCAGCAATACTTCTCAAGTTGGCCATTGCGAACCTCGACGAAAAAGCGTAGAACCGATAGTAGTCTTCATCCTCCTGATCCAACACGCTCCCCTTGCCACTCCCATCAAAGTTGAGAGAATAGCTCAGCGGATCATACAAGCACTGGAACGAGCTCTGTCTGTTCTTATTGTTGTGACGCAGCAACATCTTGTTCCACTTCTTCAGCTTCACCACAAGCCTCGTGAGGCAACAACAGCTTGGCCGCGTCGACGGTACGTCGCTAGTACTAGTAGCACAAGATGATGATGATAGTGATAAAGATACAGCAGCAGTACTCCTCGAAACTGAAACACCGCCCATGGCGGTTGTCGTGGCAGTGCTCTTATCCTCACCGCCTGTGCTTTTGGCTGTGGACATGCTCTTTGGCCTCATTTTTGCTCTCTCTCTCTCTCTCTGCTCACAGTTTCTATGAAGCTTAAGCGAGAAAGAGAGAGTGTGCGTATGAATGGGAAGAGAGAAGCAAGGTCTCTGCATATATGTGGTGCATATATAGTATATACTACCACACGGTCAAGGGTCGGTGAAACTTTTGATTCATTCGATAAATATTCAAATCATTTTCTTTATTTTCTGTTCGGGATTTGAATACGGTCAGTTCTTGCTGCATCTTTTTTTTTTCGGGTTTCAACTTTGCTTTCAGTATTATAAAACCAGCTAGAAGAGGGGTTATAGTCAGTAGCCAAAGTCTAAAAGCATGAAGTTTTTTTGGACGTTGGTTTTCATGCAAAGCCAAGAAGTGTCGTGCGTATCACTTGAAAAGACATAGTTGCAACATCGACATGTGACTTTGGCATTAAAGAATGTACGGATCTTGGTCTAATCAGAGTAATTTATATGATTAACCCCCACCCGAAAGACCAAGAAAACTATTAAAGAAAGATGAGAAAGTTGGACCACAGAGCGGCAAGTTAAATCATGTTGATTCGCAGTATTTTTCCCTGGTCAAACTGGAGTCAAACTTTAGAAACTAGGTTTATTGATCCTTTTTCCGAGAAAGGTTCGTAGTTAGCTGAATGATGGTTGATGGTAAAATAGGAATCAACAACAGTCGCATTAGTAGCTTGCAGCCTTTTACTGAACATTGTGGCATTAGATCTCTCTAGTGTTAATTTTTTTTGGTGACGGAAAGCTTATTTTAGGCATAAATATTGCAAAATTTTGAAGTATCCCGTTATTTCTGTAAGTCAATGGACATCAATCGGAACCCTAATAGGTATATCGTATTCGTATATTCTTCTTAGTAATGCACCACAATGGTTGAAGAATCTATAATAATGGTATTGGCTAGCTTCTTTGTGAAGACACTATCTTAGAAAATGGTTTCGACAATGGAGAATGAGTCCAATGTATGGCTAATCTCAATTGATGGAAGGGAATAATCTCTCGACACAAATTTGAAACTCGGAATAAATTTTCTAAAAAGTCCTTGACATTTCTTTTATTAGTGGGAGAGGCATTTTCATTTTGTCTCATCACACCCATTTGACAATCTGGTGGGAAGAATATTCTTGATAATGAGTTATGTGGGAATATAAATGTCGATGTGATGGATGATTGTTAGGTACCCATCGAAGATGCTCTATAGCCTCCCCCAATCAATATTGTTCGTTGTAATCTGTTGTATTATGATTGTACCAAATTAGATACTGACACCTTGTTTCTAGTAGATAAGACAACCTCAACGATTGACAATCATATGCAGAAATATTAAGAGGATCTACCTTTCACAAACAGCAAAATCGGCCTAGAAGTGGGTTGGTTGCTGACCTATCTTGTATTAGGTGCACCATATGTTATTCACAAACTATGACTATGGAATGCAAGACTCTTAAACATGGTTGACATTGCATTAAAGCTGAAGAGATTATATTTCGCGTTTGAGCTCGGTTGACCAAGATCTTACTCGAACTTGGCCGTGTGTAATGGCCGGAGGAAGGATAAGTCTCGGAAGATGTTCGTGAGAAGGTTCAAGGGATATCGATGTCGGCCACCCACGACAAGTATACAGTGGCCATGGAGGCATGTTTTTCTTCCTTAGTTTCAACAGGCACCCAAGCAAGTCTAATCAGGCATTGGAAATAAGTGTTGAACCTTGTGTTATCCTATATATCTAAGTGTCTTAATTAGGTCAACAAAATGAGGAGATAGAGCGTGATTACACTTCGATTAGACCGTCAAGAGTCTCGTAAGAGTTTTTCGTGAGAGTGGAGTGACATATCTTGAGAATTCTTTTGAGGGACTTGTCTTTTGAGATTATTAAGTGTCGTTAGGGCTTGAGATATATCGATAATGTTTAAGTAACTTGAGTGTGCAATCACAATCTCCACCATACTGCTTGCACTACACAAAAGTTTTCTGTTGTACAAGTGGAGAGAGCAAATGTCAAAGGAATAACATAAATCTGATCTGTGATTTATTGCTTATGTATTGATCTGCCTGGTTTTATAACGTCATCACGTCACAATTTCTTAATTTATAATGTTCGTGCAGATAAAGAAACATAATTCAAATGACTGGTTTAACTGCTTGCTTGTATATAAAATCATGGTTGCTAAATGTTCACATGGTTCTGCAATATATAGTTAATTACCATTGAAAAGAATCCAAGGTGATTGGACTGAAGTCCTGCGTGAAATTCAAAACGGTAGGCATCGGGCATCGCGCATGACGACGACGTAGTGGCAGGCATTCTTTGTATACAAATACAAAACAGCCTCTGACCCAAACCATAAATGTGAAACTGATGACAAAAGGGGGTATGTGCTCTGAGATTTACCAGAGCAAGATTCCTGATGGATGAGCAAAGACAAAGATGAGCAGGTGCCAATGGTGATTCATCAACCTGCAGTGGGCCGCGGCTCAAGTTGAGTAAAAAGCACAGAAGACCGACAGAAACAGACGTATCTTTGAAGAGATCATGTGGGGTTTCCGGTATGGAGAAGGTCAAAAGGCAGTGTTGCCAAAGTCAATGAACGGTTGTCAGATGAATCAAGAGGTGGGGACTGGTGAAAGATTATATAATGCCCATTGCCCACAACCATACAAGAGAGAGAGAGAGAGAGAGAGAGAGAGAGAGAGAGAGAGAGCAATCCTAGCCAATATTTTCTCAGCAATCACATGGTGTCTGAGAGATGAAAATGGTTCTTGGGGGTGTGATGAGTCAGTGTCACTTCTGAAGCTCTGCACATGCAAATAATGCAGAGAGACATTCGCTTGGAGATGGATACCTGAAATAAATTTTTAACTTTGTTCCCTTCCTCTTTCCTCTCCCATACATAATGTCCTTTAAACTTGGTATGGTCCTCTTTCACTTATCGAAACCACCTCATTTGAATATGGTTAATCTGGTGCATCCTCCACTTATCACTAAGCTTCTCTCGCTTTTGAGGAGAAAACTAATACGGACCCGAGCGCATGAATCATGGGCAGTCATACTTATCAATTTTAATGGGAATAATGTGGATTTCACGTGGAACCCACATCGTCATCGACGTTGATTAGAATCAGGCAAATCTCTTGCATTGTTTTTGCACATATAGTACAATGAAAGTGGCGGTCAAGCAGCAAATTAAAAAAAAATGTGTCACAGCTGAGGTCGTAGACACCATCCAACAAAAGAGTTCACAGGAGTAGTAGTAGTAGTAGCTCTCCACTAAGGCCTAGGTTACGAAAAAAGATGAGAGATTTTAGGTCCACACATTGATCGCAGTCGCGTCACATGGCTTATGTTCTTCGTTAATCAAGAAAAAGCGGGTCTTGTCCATGACTGAGCGAAGAACATGCCAGCGCATGTGGGTTCAGATTTTGTTTAATGGGATGGGAGAGAAAAGTACGAGAAGCTGGATCTGATCTGTTTTAAAAGTGATTTCTGTCTAATGCTAGGGTTCATACAGGACGCTCGTGATCAATCAGCCAATCCCCCGACATGACTATAGTTGTTTGGAGCTGGACCAAAGACAGTACTTTGACTTTCGTCCTGATACGGACAGAGCTACGTGACTCCTACGCATATATACGATGACGCAGCAACTCTTGTGCACTTCTTTAATGTGACAGTTCGATGGTGCGACCTTATTTCACGAGTTTCCTCTTCCTTTGTTTACCTCAAAACATCAAAGACGATGTACCATCTGTCGAAGCATGCATAGGTCTCGCAGATCACGGCATCGTAACTTGGGTGATGCCTTCCGTCATCAAGTGGCCAGTTCTTTATTCAATGGACTATCATAAACTATTCTTTTTTAAAGTCATCTTTCCTTTTTTTTGCTAGAACATGTGTAGTGGCACTGTTCATTGAACATTAGGTTTTAAGGATCTCCCGGTGATTGATGGGGCGATCAAACGGTCAACCGAAATATTACATATTCCGAGTTCAAATCACAGCATCTTCTCGAAGTGTCTTTAAAGAGATCATGAGATAAACGAATTAAATCTAATATGCTCGATACGAAATTAGCCGTACAGCATCTCTATATCTGGAATTAATAGCTATTGTCTGTAAGAGATTTAAATATGACAAAAGGGTCTTCTCGTAGGATAATTGTCTAAAAGTTATAAACCTATTTTACAGCAGTTAATTTAGTTGTAAACTTTTCAATTTGACAAATTTAATCCTAAACCTTTTGTTATTTTTTTAATGTAGTCCTTTGAGTCAATTTTGGTCAAAAATCGCTAGGGTGGATGCTGACTGCCTTATATGGCACAACTGATGTTGACATAGACGATTTTACGATTTTTTAAAAAAAATTTCTTCTTTTTTACTTTTTTCATTTTCTTTTTTTTTTTCTATTTCCCTTCATCGGTCACAGGGGCTTGGCGATGCCCGATAGGGTCACCAGCCACAAGCAAGGGCTGAGAAGCCCTCGACGGCCACATCGACTGGGCAAGGGCCACCACGCCCTCACCAGTGGCCAGCAACCTCCACTGGCCATCGTTGAGGCCACAATAACTGGTGGAGGGATACAAGAAAATAAGAAAAAAATATAAAACAAAGGAAGAGAAAAGGAAAAAATAAAAATATTAAGAAAACTTTTTTAAAAATTACAAAATCATCTACGTCAGCACCGACCATGCTACGTAGGACGGCTAGCTGATTAAACCACTACGTCAGCAATTTCCCATCAATATTGACCGAAATGTCTACATTAAAAAATTGTCAAAAGGTTTAGGACTAAATTGGTCATTTGCAAGTGATTTCAAGCTCATGGTAATTTCAAGATAAAAAGGGTTAATTCGAGGACTATTTCAATTAGGGGTTATTTCGCCTTTTAGGGGTTAATTTGGGGTACTTGGAATTTAGTGGGCTTTTGGAGTTAATTTCGAGGGGATATTTGGGGGCTTCTATGGAGTTTCTTAGGAAGTTTATTTTGAGTTTTTGGGGTTATTTGAGGGTGTTTTCATTTTAGGGGTTTCACGAGTTATTTAGGATATTGGGAGTTATCCAATGGTTTTTTCGATGGATGATAATTATCCAAAATGTTCTAAACCTATTGTACGGAAGTCAATTCAGTTTTAAACCTTTTAATTGAGCCAAATTAGTCATAAATATTTGACAATTGAGTCCCAAACCTTTTAATTGTGTCAATTTAGTTCTAAATCCTATGAATATTTGCCAATTTAGTTCCAAACCTATTTGGATATTTAACTAGAAGGACTGTATTGGTAAATCATCATAAGGTTATGACTGAATTGGCACAATTGAAAAGTTTAGGATTAAACTGGCTTTATGATTTTTTAGACAATTTTCCCCTTTGATGGTGGATTTACTAATGTATTTGATGCTCATTTGTGGATTAGTAGAGACATTCGAACCTAATTCAAGTTCGATGCGAAAATCAATCCCGTAAAATAGTATGGCAAGGGGCGGCGCCCCTGTATCGCATTTTCGACCGAGTTTATGGTCGGTCACTAGGACGGCCTAGAGGGAAGTTAAAATTTAGAGTTTGGGGGCATTGGCTCATCGAAAGTTTGTACCAACTATATGCAATCCGACTCACGTCATAAGATTCATTAAAACTCGGTCTCGTCCGAAAGGGGAGAACTTTATTTTTTGGTGAAGTGGGCTATCATAGGCCGAAAGTACTTAGTAATGTTCTCTAAAAAGGGTTAAATGTGTCGGATCCATGCAACAACTAGGCAGTTAGAAATTATGGAAATCTCTATTAATCACCAGAAGAACAATTGCATCCTAGCAAGCACAATTCCATCACCAGCACAAGCACTCTAGTTCACAATCATAGAACTGGGAATCTCTGTAAGTACACAATATAAAATGTCTGCATGAGGAGGAGGAAGAGAAAAGCCAAATCTAACGTAGTGGTTTGCGCGAAGCTTCGGCAGTCGGCTTAACAGTCGCGCCAGTCCAAAGGACCATAGATCACGAGGATGGCATAGAATTCCATCACCAACGTGAGGGCCACGAGGAGCAAGTGGCATCGGAAGCAGAACGTTGAGGCGGGGATCAACAGGTGACTCGCCGTGGATATGATGGCCAGAGCGCTGGATAGTATCACCGCTCTGAAGGTCCAGTCGTGCAAGTCGAGGCTCTTCGGTTGAATCAGGAAGATACAGATCACGGTGACGATCTGCGTTACCAGCAGCACCCCCTCCAGGAGGACATGGTCTCCAGGGATACCCTCCATTGCCGATTTCTTCTCATCAGCGACCTAACCAAGGAGATGCCGGGGTTAACGGCACATTATACTCTGTTTCCAAGAACACGGGGAAAAAAAGCGCCGTCGTCTGATCAGGACCGGGTTATTGTACGTGTTTTAGGCATTGGAACGGATGCACTGGTACCTCCAGGTTTATACATGAGTAGAGTTCGAACCGGAGTGGGACAGAGTCTTTTCAAATCGGCTATCTTTTTAGATAGAACCAACCAAAACTATTATCGAATTGGGGCGATAAACACCATGTAACTTCTAAAGCCCAATGTAACTCATACGTAATTGATAAGCGCACCGAAATCTAAATAACCGATTCGGTTCGATTTCGAATCCATTAATGCTGATCTCACAAGAAAACAAGAGGTTCTTTTCAACATTCATCCTAGCTTTCCATTAAGTTCAACATCCATATCCATATCCATATCCATATGAAGATAACATCCATCTACTCGCATCATGTATTGACTATTCTATATTCCGATTAAGTATTTAAACTCGCGATTCAATTGCTTTGAATCACATTGCGGCAAGAAAAGCAAGAGAAATTACATCATTAAGAGGACGTTGATTTCGTAGTTAGGCATAAGGTACAGCAAAAACATTGACGGACATCATGTAGATTAGTTCAATTAGACTTAAGAACGGTCCGCCGGGGAAGAAAGGATTAATGGAAACACTCTCAATTTGCATATTCAGCTGTCTTGAAATCTGAAGAGGGAGAAATCGGAAGGCATTTCGCTTCATGATAAACAGGGACTTTGAAGTGGTAGACCGAGTTTAATTAGAAGAGTCATCTCTTATCATCTTCTGGTAAGTAGTTCAACAAGAGAGAAACACAACTTCGCTTATTCACAATGCACTACAAGCCACTCAATAATGGCTTAGGCTCAGTGTAGAGTATGAGCCTTGGAACTGGTCAAAACTGGTTCGACCGATTCTTGATTACTCCTTCCGGTTCTTTCACAAAAGCCGGACCAGGCCTTGCTCCGATTCCCGGATCAACTGGTCGAACCGGCCAGACCGATTCAGGTCTGACAACATTCATAACATCACTTTCCATTTCATTGCACATGCATAGAAACTCTCTCTATGCATGAAATAAAGGGAAATTTTGCAGTTAGCAGACCCATTTCCTCTGAACCAGAGCCTCAAAACCACATCAGGGTGCCCTGTCAACTCCAAGACTTGAGACTACTTTCTTTCAGCAACGTTGTTTAACAATTTCCCCCATGCTTGAAAGCAATCAGTCAATTCATACGAGAGAGAGAGAGAGAGAGAGAGAGAGAGAGAGAGAGTGAAAAAGTTCCTATAGGAGAAACACATTTTAGGAATTCAGGTGCCCAAGGCCTCAACTTTCACACTGTGCTTGAGTGAGAAAAGATTTTCTTCTCCAGCATTAAGTATGATCAGCACAAAGTAGGACGGTGCATTTACACTCAATGTGTATGATTTGGAAATTGTTAAACCAGTAGAGAATAAAATCATTTCAATCGTAGCGATCCTTCACTTGAATTATCTGATGCCATTCATCTCTTAAGTATGATGCTTAGGCAAGACGCGATGCCTAGGAACCTTGTTTGCGACGAATAAAGGCATTTACTAGTTTTGAGTAACCATTCGTTGCGATTTTTATTCAAGTTCTCTATCAAGTTGGGTGTGCTGCTTCCGACTAATGGCTTTATATAAATAGGTAGTGCAATTTCTTAAATGGAAGCACCTGCAACTAGCTAATCTACCCGATCAAGTTTGAATTTCAAAATGTTAAGAGACCAAAAAACGTGTAACTTCTTGTGTTTCCAAAAGTAAAACCAGCTAACCCAGAAACAGATAAGTTCACAAGGTATATAGCATTAGAGAAAGAGAGAAGAAAGAAACTGATCCAACGAAGAGTTTGCCGACATCGATATAGCACATGAACCTCTCTAGTTCAAGAAATCTAAACTCATGAACTAAGCTTCTAGGCCTATATAATGTAAGTTGACAGAAGAAGCAAAATTTGGAAGAGCAGCAAGTACCTGCTGATTCCTTTTGACTCCTTCATTCCATTACAACCTTGGCTCCAAGAGCTGTCAGTTTCTCGATTATTCGTTCGCCGTCTTCTTTCGACACTCCTGCTTTCAACACCGCCGGCGCCTTCTCCACTAAATCCTTGGCTTCCTTCAGACCCAAGTCCGTAAAGCTCCTCACCTCCTTGATGATCTTGATCTTCGCGGACGCTTCGTAGGATTCCAGTTTCAGCTCGAAGACGGTCTTCTCCGGCTTCTTCTCCTCCTTGGCCGCGGCGGTCGTCTTCGCAGCCATCCCAGCCAGCCCTGCGGCGGCCCCTCCTTTCATGACGGCAATGCCCGGCTGCTCCTTCATCCCCAATTTGCTCATCAAGATCGACGAAAGCTCCGCCACCTCGACCAATGTGAGCTCAGATACTTCATCCACGAGCCGAAAGACCCTATCCGTCGGAGGGCTTCGATGCTGCGTAGGATCGAATGTGGCGGGATCGTAGTCGGCCGGAAGCCTCCTCTGGTCAATCTCCACTTCCTCTTCGTCATCATCCTCCTTCCTCGCTGGTTGAGAGAGACTTCGGGACAACCAATTCGAATGCGAATTCGCCATGAACCCAGGATGAGAAGCGGCATACGCACGGAACCCATTTGACAAACGGTGTCCGACCCTCGAGATTAGGCTCATCGCTAGCGATAACTAGAACGTTATCTCCACCTTTTCTTGGCAGCAAACGAGCTACAACCGATGCATTCTCAGAGCCACTGAAGCGAAAAGATGACAGCTTGAAGCACGAACCAATGCAGGGTTGAAGTAAAAGGAAGTCTTCCTCTTCCTTAAGCACGAAATGAAGGAGCTCCGCCGTCGAATTGAGCTTAAGGGTCAACCGGAAATCGCTCGTCAGACCGCCATCGCCGGCGAACTGGATCGCTTGGAGATGATGGCGAAGAGAGGGAAGAACTTGATTTGAAACCCTAGCTGAGGGAAGAGGATGACACCACCTCACCTGCTTGGGCTCATTTATGTGGGCTTGATTCTACTGCAAATTTGTTGGTTTTGAAAAAAACCTTGGGCCTTTTTCTTTCCTAAGAAAAATCAAGAAATTTTTTTCTTATCATTGGGATAATTAACATTGGTAAATTTACTTTTCAATTTCATTTATTGACAAATTATGGTAAAACAACAAGATGACATGCATAAAAAATTTGTACACAATTTTGTGCCGATGGCGAAGGCACAAAAAAAGCAGGAAAAACTCACTCGGTAATGCCAATCATTGCATTATCGTATTTATCCCGTTCATCTCAATGCTCCGATTATATAATTATTTATAGTATAAATTACTAATAAATTGTAGAAGTCATTTTCTACTATATGAATTGTAGAGATTATTCTGCTTTGAATAGACCTCTCCTCTCATCTCCTCTTCCTCCCAAGACTGGTCTTATATGATGTTAAAACAAGCCTTGTTTTCTTGCATATAAAGTGAAGTTTTTCCTTCCTTTTTTTCCCTTCATTGAAAGTTTTAAGAAAACAAATATCATCAAAACACCTCGCTAATGAGGCACACGACTTCGAAATAATATACATAAAATCATCATTTTGCTAGTCTAGTGTCCCAGTATTGAGGTTTCTCATGCACAAAGGATCGCATCCGATCTAAGAAGACCAACCAAGTCACCTAGGATTTTCGAAGTCCTCTAAATTACTCTCGAGAACGGATGATATGGTAATTGTACCGAGTTTTAGAGTCTTCTTGTCATAATTGTCATTAGTTAGTGAATAAGGAGATCCCATCTCCACCATAAGATTGAAAGGCCATCGACAGTTGTATAAATAGGGGTGCGCTCCCCCGTAAGTAACCTCCAACACTTGAGCAACACAATGATTCTTGGCACTCCACCGATCCAAAGAAAACCTAAGGTCCCAAACGACCGGTCTGTGACAATAGCATAGGGTAGATTTTGACCAATTCCCAAATTTCAAAGCACATCCTTAAAATCATATGGAGAATTAAATACACTTCAATGGGCACTGCATGTTAAGAGTTGCCCATAAGCCAAGAGTACATAAAGCTCTTAATGTTACCAAAATTTAGCAATCAGAGAAGAAGGGCAATGCTTCAAGCAAATCACGTCCCTGAACCATATATTATAAGTACAACACAATAATCGGTTGCTGTTTACATGGTTCACGAATACCCCATCACGCCTTTGCGGCAGATCCAGCACAATGGCTCGATCAATAACTTGAAGATATTTACAAAATTGGGTACTTCTAAAATCCATTCGCAGAAAGTGTGGTTAAAGTTACAACAAATAAATCAACCAAGACTGAATGATTGCCGGATGGGTGGACCATCTGGCTCCAATACTGAGAACTAATCAGCCATCGACTGGAAACGGCAATCAAGGAATGGTGTAGTTATCTTGTTACGGGAGTTTCTTCACCTTTCCCACTGGGACGAGATTTATCTGGCCCTTCTCGAAGCCCTGGTGAACATTTCTTTGATATTCTGAGAATCTGTCTCTACTTTTGCTTTTTTAACTTGCCTTCCAACCTTTGAAGCCCTTTTATCTGCCCCACTCTTTCCCTAGTAGATCACAGAAGAAACATTGAGCAACAAATTAATATCCCTATGCTGAGAAGAGTGACTGCGACCAGGTTCATTCAACAGGTTCTGATGATACAAACAAAGACAACCCAAATAAGCACGATCATTCCTCCGATTAAGTTTACAATGAGGGCAAATTTCCATTGAAGTTCGTGACTTAATAGTTGGCACTAAGTAGTCAAAATACCTATTAAAACTTCATCTAAAACAATAACATAGGTCATGTTAAAGCAATCCAGGAGATATCCAAAGTACAGCCACCCTCGTACTATTTGATTGCTGAATGCATTATTGACTTCATCCAGTAAAGTGATATCGCAATTACCTGTAAGGCTCCAGGAGATCCAAAGTCATTTGTCTCTGCTACATCTTGAGAATTTTGTTTATGAGCTGCCTCTCCAACATCCCCTAAATTCAATCTGCAGGAAAATTAAGAATCCTGGGCTTAGTCACCATTGACTATATATATATCAATCCAAGCATAGATGAAACTGAAATTTTTCTCTGTGGGGTCAAACTAACAATTTCTTATCATTCCATTGATATAACCTATGCTTCATATTGAATAGACCTTATTTCTATAGGAACGGCACTCTATTAATAATATAACTTTCTTTTACGTTTTCTCAGTAATTAGGGCAACCTGCAAAAGTGAGAAACACCTTATCGGTGTATTTCTTTAGAAATTCAAAGGTGTGTTGCCCAAATATCTTAAACTCTAAACTATAATAACATTTTTCACCAGTGGGTGGGGGATAATCTATCCTAAATCCTATTACTTAGCACATGCTCTATACTATTGTACAACAAAAATGTAGCCGTTAGTGTCTAGGTAAAATCAGGCAACAGTATATATGCAAGAAAGAGTAAAAAGCTTTACTTCAGACTATCACAGAGATTCTTCAACCAAGGTTCATCCAGCAAGTACTCCCCAATTATTGAGACAGCATCAGCTACTGCACAAACAATAAAGGAGAATTAACAAAGAGCAAAAAGCTAATCTTTACTTAACTCAAGCTGGACATTCCAATCCTTTTCATCTCTCTCGATAATGATGCTGAGTGAACTCTCAAATTAACTATCTTAACCCAGCAAGCATGAGTGACTCTTTTGAAAAGGGCCTGAGAGGAGCAGATTGTCGAAGCTAAAGCACTTATGTGGGCCCTTCCCCCTTGATCCCTCAAGCAATTACGGACAGAAAGTTATTCGGCAGTGCTCCTGTATATATGTTATACAAATGCCAAAACATGCACTAACATCCAACCTCAACAGATTTTTATACCATTAGATGGTGACCAGTAGAGAAACAACAAGTTTGATGCACTTAGATAGGTTACGTAGATATTGAGATCCATTACCTTTTCAAATTGGTCAAACATAGAGACGTAAAGATTGATCAACCTGAATATCAGGCTTAGCAAACAGTTATTTTTAGTACATAAATGGAATTAAAGACATTGTGCACTATTACCCTGGCAAAAAACAAAAAAGGCATTCATATGACTCAGTTTAGGATCGAATCCCATCACGAGTACCATTAGAAATGTTAATGCCCTACTTTCACGACTTCTATTAATACTCTGTGGTAAGAGTTCCTTTTTTTTCTTTTCGAATGGCCCCTTTGTGGAAAGAGCTATATGTAACTACCCACCACTCTCGTTCAGATGTTCTAACTGAGAAAAGATCTCTGCTCATGACTCCTTCAGTGAACTCATATGACAAATTCATGAAATTACATAGCCAAAAGTTTGTCCGCTAAGACATACACATCTCGTTCTCAGAACGGGCAGCATAGTTTTTATCCAGAGTACTCAAAGTCTGCTTCACTCGGTGTACCTGCAATTTGAAAACATTTGTTGGTACACTTGCACCATCATTGACGAAATTAAGTTTCTTGAAAATTACAGACCTTGTTTGACAACCAAGCAAGAACCTTAGCATCATCAAGCCTAAAAAACCTTGTTGATCCAATTTCTGTCGATACAGGCAGACAGAGAGAGATATCAACTTGTGTCCTTGCAAAGAAAAAGATAGACACTTAATAACACTCTTAATGGTCTTGTTTTAACCACACATCATAAATACAATCATAATTAACTGAATCTCTTGTTCACAGTTTCTATAGGTAACAACTAGAGTAATGTTCACTAGTCGCTTACCAAGCAACATTTCAAATAGATTACAGTATCAGCATACCATTACGCTAAACTTTATCATAAACATGAAGACAATCATGATATTAAAAGACGACAACAAAAACAAAAACCAAAAAGAAAAAGAGATGCAGATTATAGAGCCTGGACTTAGAGTTGAGATGTACAACATACATAAAATATCTCCAGATATACCCTGCTCCAATGCAATTTTTCAAAAATGTTCATTTTAATTTTGTGTGAAACTTTAATTGCAGCATCTCACGTGACATATCACATGACAAGAATATTATGCAATAATAATAACCCTGATTCTTAAAGTTCTAAATCATTTCTTTCCCAATTTAAGCTACCCCTTAGCTGCCAGGGCTATGGCTTCCTGTAGGTCCTTTCCTCCCCATAAGCATCAATGCCTTTTCCAATTTTCAATTAGCAAAATAGGGATGCTTCATATTCTTCTCAATCCTAGTAACAATTACTGAAGAAAGGTGGCACAGAAAATAATAGACAAACAAAAAGAGTCCCTATTGGCAGCATTACTTAGCAGATAAGTCTTATTGAAGGTTGATCTTGGATTCGATGTCATTTTTTCAAAGAATGTAGTTACTTCAGTGTAACTAATAGCTATAATACAGATGTATATGACTCGTCACCTTTAACTTCACAAACCACTTGCATGGGCTTCTCCGCAATGGACAATAAATGCTGATATCCAGGATAACCATTTATAAACAAAATCTCATCCAATTGCCTAAACTTCCCAGGATCATCTCTTTTCTGCAATGGTTGAAAAGGCATTATGACATCAAATATTTAGGAGTAATTCATAAAGGACGACAAGTCCAACTTAAAGAGAAATAGATCTGTGTGCATTCCACGATTTTATCTTGTTTACATGCTTAGGCAGATGCCAGTGTGTAAACTTGTTAAAAATCGACAGATGCATAACCTACGCAAACAATATGCTGGAATTTCTGGAACAGCACATTCTCCATCAACAAGTTGAGAGTCATACATAGAAAGATTAATGGTTTCAACAGAAAGGAATTCATCTCTTAGAGAAAACAAATATTTGAACTCGTGATTAAATAAATTAATAGGAAAATATAATACATTACATTTCTTGTGAAACATGAAAAATTGAATAAAATATATGGTACCCTCATCCTGGCTTCCTCGAAAACTGGCAACATGATGAAAACTGGATCGACTGGTGTGGCAGTATACAGGCAACCATCTTGACCACATGGAAAAAAAAAAAGCGAGTTATTATCCTAACCGCAATGAACACACTCGAGCCTTAACTGCCAACATGAATCTTGAAGATCACACCTTTATGGACGTAATCTCCCAGAAACCAAGACCCATAAGGCAATTTAAACCACTGAAGCTCTAAAAGCTTCTCATCGACGACGAGGTAGCATGTCGCTTTTCCTGCAAGCAGTTAAAGAGGCAGCATCAAGCAAGGTAAGTTTTTCGGACATGTTCGCGCACGAGGGTTCATGCCCGGCACGAGGGGATAGCTTTCTGATTACCTGATTTGGGATGCCGAAGTGACAAGAAATGCCCAACCCCTTTCTCCGTCGCGGCAGAATCTACAGCATGAGGGACCAGAAAACCTCACCATCTTCGAATTTACAAAATTGCGGGAAATGCAATCGACTGCTATACTCCACATTTCAATTCGCAAATGTCAGGAAGACATAACACGCGCATGCTACAAATTTTTACTGACAGATCATCCAATTCGAGAACAGCTGGCGTCGAACCCAATACAATTCATCGGTCAGGAAGGAGGTACACGATCTGAGCAGAGCAATTGAGCAACTGGGATGGCATTTTCCAGTGACAATGCAAAACAGGGGTTTTACAGAGAAACCAAATTTGGAGAAGAAGGAGGAGGGTGTTTACCAGGTGCGACGAGAAGGCGGGTTTCGCTACTTCCTTCCCACCAGTTCTTCATTCGCCAAGACTTTTGCTCTTCCCCTGCCCCCCAAAAAAACGAAAAAAAATTGAAACTTTTTCGCAGTCACCGCGGCTCAGAGTGAAGCGCCGCGCTCTTTCAAAGGCGCCAAAATGGGCTCGAAGCCGGGAGGCTTGGTGCTCGTCGTGTTCGCACGTGCCAGCCTCAGAAGAATATATATTTTTTTTTTAGGGCTAATTTGCTTTTAGACTCCTCGGGCAAGATTTTTTTAGGATTGATAATTTGCTCTTCAACTATTTGTAAATTTGTAAATGAGTCTCCATTGTTTTTTTTATTATTTGTGTAGATATAAAATGCAAAGGAAAACACTATAGTTGGTGAACAATTAAAGAACTCGTCAAATATCCCGATGATTTTTCACATTTTTCGGCCGTTTCATTCTCACGTAACTACTCTATTTTATCTTGTTGGCATGTGTTGCGGACCGGAAGGTTTTAAGGCCCAGCAGGTCGAGGAGATGACCAAGATGACCGGTCATGCATTGAAGCTTTCTAGAGATTTAGGGTTTATGAGGGCTCTAGAATGTTCTTAGGGGCATTATGGAAATGTATGTATTTTAGATTATGGTAGTTAGGAAAATTGAATCTCCAACATTAAATCATGGGGCGATCTATGGTTATAATGGTCTTCTCCCCTAATTTGTGTAATTCAACAATCATGAAAGAGCCTTCTCTTCCAAACAATTTTCTCTAGAGTTTCTCTCTTTGTGGTTGGGGTGGGCGAAGAGCAGACATATTGTCCACAATATAAACATATAGTCGAGAATTTTTTCAGGATTAATAATTGCTCTTCAATATAGTTGATGAATAACTAAGGAAATTCTCTAATTTATTGACATGCATCACTAATTAATTTCCATCTTAGCCCCTCCTTTGAGCATATGACGTTACATAACAATTTGCGCCATAAGATTGTTCACAATAAGTATTATGCTTGGCAAAATTTGCATGTTGTGTTTGCATGCAACCTATTTGCTCTTTACAAATCCACACCAAAGTTCTTTTAAATTGCTCCACTATATTTATCCCAACGAATCATGACCCATTGATCATAAAAAAAAAATGAGTCTTAAGTCGTTTAATCAGTGCCCGACATTCCGCGAAACTATTTATAGGACAGGATAGTTTTTAATTGGGATCATTGAAATGTTGAACATCGGCCACAACGTCCATCATTAGAGAGCTTGTGCATCTAACTTCCTTGGTACACCGCTTCACCAATAAAATACTTGCTTCAGCAGTAAAATACTTGCCAATAAACTGACGATTTAGCCTGCTTAATTTTGTTAAGTTTGAATCCATGTGCATGCATTGCGGCAACGGAGGTCATTGATAATGTCCTGCTCCTCATGAGGTAACTAAAACGCCATGAAATGTCAATATACGAGTCGTTTCAGCATCCGCATTTTGGTACATCCTTCTCTCTTTTCTTGGTCTTTCGTTCCATCATATTCCTATCAACAACTCCAATTACAACGAATTAACCGCTGATGCACCTTGCTTAGCATAAGAAAAGGGAAAAGAGCATGTTTAGGAGACTAATCTTCATAAGCAAACACTTGAACACCAAATGCAGCATAAACAGACTGGGTGCAACGGCTCTGCATTTGTTAAAATTGCACCAATTTGACAGCACCGTCAATTTACACATTGACACTCATGAATTATTTTCTTCTGATTTTTCTCAAAGCTTCTCTCTTTTTTCATTTTACTTATTTGTGATGTACTAGAACCGTCTTTTGCTAACACGAAAAATTACAGCCACTATTCTATCTTGTAGGTATCAAATGACACAACCTCGCCCATCATGACTTCAGATAAAACCGAGCCGCACATGTTAACATCTCAAGAACTTTATCATCGCGGAACCGAGATCTCACCCCCACCTTTTTCTTCCAAAGGAAATGGACAAGCACAGCTAAAATGCAATCTCACAAGGCGCATGGAAGGTCCTCCCCCGACATATAGCCTCGAGGTTTTCTCCGGTATATGAACACAACGGAGATACCTCCACACCTGAGACAAAAACAGAACAGGGAACCATTAAATTTACTTCCTGACCCATAAATCATGATAAGCCAGCTGATTACTTGAAAAGTGACTGATTATTTCGAACACATTATGTACTGTTGACAGACTGCTCCCAACCGAGACAAGTAAGATAAGCCTATGGACCAAGGGATTCTACATTACATCCTATCATGCACATGCTATAGGTTAACTCCTTTACACATGGCAAAAGAATGGATCAGATATTCTGCATCGATTCTCGAGAAACCTATGAAGCTCCCAGTAAAATTCAATATTCTTTATCAGCTTTTGAGTTGATTTCCTATTCCTCACTTGTAATTAACATAGATTTTTGGGTGTATGTCCATTCTGTTCTTTTCCCCAGTGCAAGGTGTATGGACGGATTAAATTTCAACAACATGCAAGCGTAATGGAAGATTTCTTGGCACAAGTCAAATTTGCATACACCACTGAGAATAGCAAACTCTGCACAACATGTAAAAATTTGCAACACAATGCATGGTAAGCCACCACCAATTACCAGTAGCATATAGGGGCACCGAATGTGTTACAAAGCCTCCAGCAGCTACCACCCAACGAGTATGGAGCCGGAGAACCAGCAGCCTTGCACTGTCTGGAGTGTCGAAATTTGATCCATTAGCATTTTTCACCGGTGCAAACTCTTCATCACGCAATACCTGAACTTTCAGACAAATTGTTTAGCTTCGCAGTATTTAAAGAGCTGAACTCAAAAAATTGGTATTAGAAGGATTAGAGAGGACCTCAAAAAGTGCAGTTGAAGGAGCATATGGAAATGCATCAAATATGAACTGCTCCAGCTTCAATCCCGCTGTTTGTCCATGGATTGAAGCAATTTTCTTCTCAGCAAGATGATAGCTGCCATTACAGAAAATCGAATGCAATTGATTAATGAAACGTACTCTCACGCAATGAATCAGTTGAGAAATGGTCATTACTTCTTGATTTTACTAAAGTTTACTCTTTTTTGTAGAGAGACCAAATATTTGGCAAATCCGGTACTTAATGAGTCTTATGCTTATGTACCCTGACAATCAAAAACTCTCTGACCACAAAATTAATTATCTATCGATTAACCTTTCAAGTTTGACAAAGATCTACTATGAAGCTCTTTTGTTGAAACTTTTATGAAGCAACCTGCAAATGTATTCACATTAAAATATCATGCAGCGCTAGTACCTATTGGGATGCACGTGTGAGGAATAACTGGAAATGTAAACCGCGAGGAGGATAATTAAAGTTAGAACGAATAATTGACACATCAAGTTGGCTCATTACTCAATAGTAGAACTACCCAGATAATTCTGTATCTCATACAAAAAAGGTCAAATGCCTTGTTCACAAATTGTGTACGAAATTATGGTTCAGAAGGAGAAAGATGAAATTAAGGCCATAAAACTAGACTATTTTAAAAGAGAAAAGATACAGCAGAAAGTGGCTCAAGAGACAATAGTTTCGTCCCCCCAACATTTCTAAATAAAAAGCAGGTGAGCAGTGAAACACAAAGACCACTTACATACTGTCTTTCTCAAGGCCATTTGCAACCTGGTTGAGAAAATCAAGGGTGAACATATGTAAACAAACCTGAAAGCCAGAAAGTAAAGAGTAGTCAGGGAGAAACTGGGAGGAAAAAACAAAAGCCAGAAAGTAAACAAACCTGAAAGCCAGAAAGTAAAGAGTAGTCAGGGAGAAACTGGGGGGAAAACAAAAGCCAACATATTCATATGATGCTACATCATGCATCTAAGCGCAGGGCAATCTAACAAACAAGGTTGTCTGGTTTCAAAAGAATTTGATATCCTCAGAAATAACACATAAAGACTAAAGCTACAATATCAGGCCCTGGAGTAGTATCTTTTAAAGCTAGAGAGAAGTGGAATTACCATGCAATTGATATCAGTAATCAGCAAGCTTTTAGAGTAATAAAGCAAAATATAAATCAATAATAGTGCAAAAAGTTGGAAACAAATTATGTAAGTAGTAAGTGCAAGGAATAGGATGTACATTACTCCAGCAAAAACGAAGCCGTCCAGTTTCTTGATTGATTGCAGAAGCAAGTGTTTGATCCAGCTCACTATATTCAACCACTGTAAGTGGTCCACCTTTACCACGCCTTACAAATACACCTACCTTCTCTTGTGGGTATGCCTAAAAAGAACCATTCAAGAATTTAGAAAGTGAATATTCAGATTACAGCCATTAGCAATCGGTCCGCCAAAAAAATGTGGACATGCTACACACGCAATTATGAATCTAACAGCCGGAAGGAAGAAATTTTGATTTTCATGTGAAGTAAAACCGGTAAACAAAATTCATGCAAATCATATCAATTGTATCAACTCAATTTAATCCAAGTGGGCAAAACACCTCAGAAGGAGTACTCAAGGTGGTGTCATTTGGATTGAGTCTCTCCTTATATATCAAGCCACAAGTTACCTCCCACTCACCCATGAAACTTGAAGTGCTTTATAAACTCCTCTGCTTTATATTACTATCATAATCATCAATGTGGCTCATGTAGCTCAAAACTACACCAGGTAGGTAAAATTCTAGATTTGACCCTCACAGGTTGAAGAGATAGCTCCCAAAATGAAGCAGTAGGTCTCACATAGTTGAAAAGGTAAATCTAGTAACATAGCACTTTGTCTTGCTTAGCACTCATACCCCAGTACAATGTTCTGAAACCATTTCTAACGAGCCAAATCCACATGGCCAAGCCTCCCAAAGGAGTACTCAAGGTTGTGCCCTTTGAGAGGTGAGTCTCCACTAATGCATTCCACAAGTTTTTTGCCACTTGATGTAGATTCACAAGCCCGCTTTACGCTTTGATACCGTAAATATGAACCATTTCAAGCCAGATTAACTCGTGCAGAAAAGGCAAGAGCTTTATCTAGAGATCACCAAAGGATATGTACAAACCATGTAAATCATCTTCAACACAACATACTTTCAAAAGGATAACCACGACGAGTCAAAATAATAAAATGAAGTATGATATGTGCCAAGACATATAT